AATGGAATGTTTCCTGCAGAGCTTTCTGCACATGTACTGATCTGCACGAACCCAAGCTCTGGGTCAACAAAGACTATTTTTACGAGGAATAAAGACAAACTTGCTGTTCAACATTACCAAACCACCTGATATCTAGAGGGAGACACCTGTTTTGGGTATGCCAGGAAGGACGAGGCTGAAAGGAACCCCAACTGGGCCATAAGGAAAATGTCAGGATGGACTATGAGGGGACACTCAACTGTGTCAGACCACCCTCAAATTTCTCAYTGTCATGCTGAGGTAATGGACATTTCTGTGCAGGCCTCGGAGCATGTGTGTGTTGGTGCAAGGTTGTGCCCTTTGCCTGTGTCACTCCCCATTCTTGGGAACAATCAGGAAGAAACTCCTAGTGTTTCCTGGCTCCTGCACACACTTTTCACGCACAGGGGAGCACCTAGCCCATAGAGAACATTTTTTCCCTGTTGTAATCTTGATGGAAAACGTAGTTAGTGATGGAGAAAGGAATTCAGGAGACGGCTGAGAAGTGCCTGAGGGAGAACTTTCATATCTATTTGCACAAGAGACATTGTGAACATGCCACCAAAGAAGTCAAGAGAAGCATTAACAGAGCAMGAGGAAAGGGCAAGAGAATTTCCTCTCTTTCAGCTCCCTGGGAGTCCTGCCTGTGTTTCAGTGCATTGGTTTGCTCCCACAAACCTGGACAGCCTAAAAGGGCACAGCTTTGACAGCAGGAGCCGGCSCTGCAGGAGTTGTCTATCCTGAGACACAAGGCAAATTAAGCGACCAAACTCCACCAAATATTGTGTCAGAACTACAAAGACTTGTACCCAAAAACTCAGCACCTGGGATGCTGAGAGTTTCCAAAAATCACAGACACAGACAAGGCCACTTGGGGGCCCTCCTTGAGTTTCCCTTCCTGAAGAGCATCACTCTAAGAAAAGTGCAGAACCATGCAATGCTGTAGCCTCGAAAAGAAGAGGAAAAGCACAAAACTCCCAGGTAAATCCTGCATGTTGTGGCCCAGCCTGTAAGTCAAGGTCCCCCTCCCAGCCCGTGGCACTGAGTCACCCCGCCCAGAGCGCCTGCTGGGCTGCCCCGTGGATCAGGGATGCACTCAAGGGAAGCGCTCRGATCCTCCCTGTGACGTGAAGCTGCCACAGCTCCCCTGGGGCCCGCCTCTTGCCCCACAGCCTTTGAATTTGGCATTGCTSTTAAGGCAGCTTCCTGGAAGAGTGCTCATGGGCAAATCCGCTGCCGCGCTCTGTCAAGCGGCCGGCACAGGTCAATAAAACGCCGTTCATCATGGGATTTGCCATAACAATGGGACACAAACACACTTAGCCTTACGTACAGAAATGATGTCAAACAAATTAGCTTTGCCCGAGTTACTCAGACGTTCTTGCAAAGCTCGGCCCTGTCCTCTCGTGTCTCAAGCCTGGCTTTGCTGTKTGCCAGAGGGAGAGGCCTCTCTGTACAACAGCCTTGGACAAGGAGGAGAAAGGAAGGGTTCTTGCATTCCCTGTGCCCCCCAAACAAAAAAAAAAACCCTGAACAATTTTTTTTAAAAAGGCAAAAACATAGCAGATTTGGAGTGACAGGGCCCATGCTCTTGTGCCCCTGCAATTGGATCCCAATGTTGCCCTTGGTTTGGGAAGCTGAAGGTGATGGCAGATGAACAGGCACATGGCAATAGTGCACCAAGCACTGGCTTCCAGGAGCAATTGCTGCCAGAGGCAGCAGTGTGGACACAGCKCTGGGCTCACAGACATCCCCTGCCAAGGAAGGTATCCCACACTGGCACCTCAGGCTGCCTCTCCATCAGCCTGGCTAACATCAGCCAAGGGCAATGCTACCATGCTGCGTTTTGTCCGTCCTGGCCAGGTAACACAGCTGGCATTTGAATATCAAAATGTTCTAACTGTATTCCAAATGCAGCAAACTGTACTTTTGCTTATTAAATGACAAAATATCATTAAAAAGAAATTGGCACTAGGGAATCTATACAAGGAAACCTCCAYGCTATATTCAGCAGATAAATTCAACACGAAGCTTTGATTCAAAATTAGCATTTAAGTGACTCAGTCTTATACGTGGAATCAAAACCTTACCTTTGGATACCTCGGGCCTTTTTATGAATTGGAACACTCAGCCCAGAGCTAAGGCAGGTGAACATTCACAGGTGGCCTTAATTCCACACCAGGGCAAWACCCCCAAAGCATTGGATGGAAAACTCCCTCAGAATGGCTATGCAAGACATGCCTCAACTACCAAATTCACCTYATCCCAAACTGCTCCAAAGAATAAGCATTTAAAGCAATTTTTAACCCTTGTTTGTCTGCGGAACTGTGTGTCACAGACTATTTGTATGTTTATATCGGTGAAAAATGAAATTCAAGTTTTAATTTAATTCAAGCAGCCTCTTATTTAGACGTTGGCTTGCCCACAGGCTCCAGAGCAAACCAAACCCTGCTTTCAATCATAACCAGCCTGTGTCCCAGCTCCCAAGGCCAGCAGCTCACAGAGTGAATTCTTCCCATGTGTGCAGCCAAGTGCCACAAGGGCCTGCAGTGCCAGTGCTCCAGAGCAGCCCAGTGAGCATTTCCCTCTGGTGCACAGCTCCTGCTGCTCACAGAACCTGCTCTCACTGCCACTCCGTTCAGCGAGAGTAGGAGCAGCTCCARGTCTAGTCATAGGACAAGATTTTATTGCTGTCATGATAATTAATGACTACTTACACCGAGCTTTTAATGAGTACCTGCACTTTTTTTTTGTTTGTTTGTTAACTGGGTCGTAAAGGAGCCCCAAGAGGTTTCCTGGATTTGCAGTACAATAGGGACCTCTAGAGGCGTTTCCCTGCTCAGAGAAACTTTCTACTCATTTCACACAAGACATAGAACTGAAATTAATRTTAAAAAAGAAACTCTTGCTGTTTTTCATCAAACTTGCATTTTACCATGTCTGACCCTTCTTTCCCCTCTCTCAACACTTACTGATGTACCCAAGCACCACTTCTTGAAAGAACTCACAGAAGAATGATCTCCTTTTCTAAAAGCTTTGAAGTTTGTCTCCTTCATGTGACTTTAATCCCTCCTTGTTTTAGTTGTCCACAGCACATCATTCTCAAAGCTTTGCTTCCTAGGGACGGTATAAAGGCAAATGATTAAAAACTGTGAACTTCAGGGGTGATAGGAGATATTCTGAACTTAATTACTAAATAAATTCTTTTGCCAAACTGGTCTTCTCCTTGTAGGATGCTTTGCCACCTACAATGTATTCTATGGACCAAAAATGAAATAAAACATATAATGGGTATAAAGAATTACAAAACTCTAAAATTTTGCTGAGAGGACTGATTTTTTGGGTTTGGTATTTTGTTTTGGTTTTTGGTTTGGTTTTTTTTTTTGTGGAGGGGTGGTTGAGGTTTTTTGTGTTGTTTTGTTTTGGTTTTTTTGCATGAAGTTGAGAGTCACTAGCAAGTACCAGTTTCACAGCTATTTCTTAGCACACAAGGCAGGACTTCGGCATCCTTGTGCTGGCTGCAGCAGCACAAATCACACTTGTACTTCTCCCATAAGTGGGATGGAAATTATTCAAATATATGCTGTGTCATTATTCAAATACAGTCCGGGTTACTATGAATAAAAGAAAATCTCCAAGAAGAACTGCCTCCCACCTGCCTGCCAGCCACCAGTGTGCCCTGWCAGGACACAACCAAAGGCAGTGCCTTTAAAGCATCTTTTTGCCAGGTGTGCATCTCACTGTTTGAAACAGGCCTTGCTGGGATCAGGGAAACCACAGACCACCCACAGACCTGAGCAGAGAATGGGAGTTGGATTTAGGGAAGGTGTTCAAGTGACAGCCCAGCACACCTGCACGGTGGCTGCAGATGCCAGTGCAGCAGCTTCAGGGCTGGCTGGCTTAAGGGCAACTCAGCTTGGGAGATGTGCTGCAGGAAAAGCCAGTGTGGTTCCAGCAGCCAGGATCATGCACAGGGCAAGTGCAGAGTCCTTCAGAAAGGCAGAGCCCCACCTTTGATGTCTCTGGGTGCCCCTCACAGCTGAGTTAAGCCTGCCTAAAAGTCACACAAACACGGGGGCTCCCCTTGAAATGACAGGTTTTGGCACGTGCAGCTGGAATGGGAAGGAGAAACCTAATTATGCCACTACAGAAAGAGTCTGAGGCTGATAAACKAGGCAGGAAAGATGATGGTGATCCTCTGACAGGCCAGTTCTGCAGGAAATTCAGCACCGTAAGCAGCAGCACACCATTCCAGGCTGGCAGCATCTGTCACTGATCAAGGCAGGGCTCAGCAGGGCTGACTGCATGAAGTGATCTGAGGCCATGCACACTGCCCCAGCCAAACTGCTCCTGAGTCACCCATGAACAGAGCTGGGGCTGCTCCGAGGCCAGGCTTCTGAACGAAGGGAACACAGCAGGTGCCAAGAAATCCAGCTGTGCAAGCCTCAACACCACTTGGAAAAGGAACACTAAAATAAAGCAAACATCTTCTTTTCCTCTTTTCCTTCCCTCCTTCCCTCTCTCCTTTCCTCCCTCATCTTTCCATTTCATTGTCATTCTGCCCTGACACAAAGTCTCACTTTGCATGGCTAATCTGGTGTTTCACTCTCCAGCTTTTCTTCCACCAGCAGAAAAAAATCAAACTCTCACTTCCAAAGCGGCCTTGAGTCAGAAAGACAACTAGAAAAACTAGTGTTTCACTATGTAGTCTCCTGCTAAATTGTGGCCTCAAATTAAACCTTCCTTTTCACTTATATTTAACCAAACATTGAAAAAATGAAGTCARTGTATGTTTCTGAGGGTATAAATGGCTCACTGCAATGAGTAAATACCCCTGAAGAGGCCTTGCATATCCTGCAAGCACCTGCTTGGTCACTGTACACAAACAGAGTAACAAACATCAGGAAGAGGACATGCAAACTGCTTCACCCAAACAAAATACATCTCTCTCCAAYAGTTTGCTTTGGGCCAGGTGAAGTCCAGTTGTTCAAACTGCTGCCTTCAGAACTTCTGTGACAAGTGCACGTACCCTGAGCACGTTGTGTAGGGTGTGTGTCTGCTCCCAGACACAGCCTGTGCTGTGGAGAAGGGCTGCTCCTTGGGCAGTGAATCCAACAGCAGCAGAAGAGACAGCTCACGGGTGAGAGGGACATACAATCACATGGCAACAACTCTAAGGCTTTGCATCCTTTGGATATTCAGCTCTAAAATTTTCTTCCAGACCAACAAGGAAGATCTCTCACCTGTGTTTTCCTGATAAGATGCATGTTTTCAGTTTCCATGTGCAAGAGGTGAAGCATGGTTTTTGTTTGTGAGGATGTTCAGACTGTAATTCACATCTAATTGCCCTCTGACCATAYATGTGTGACATGGAAATTGTTAAGGCCACTACCAAAAGCTGTCTTGAAGACTGTGAAGAGCACAACTTATCTCCCAGGGGACACTAAGAAAAGGCCAGAAGAATGGAAAGGAGCAAACAGTGTACAGATGACCATATGTGACTGGAATGAAGACAAAAAGGCCCAGAGTTGGTAAATGCTGGTGTCAATGAGCAGAGGAAAGGACTGGTGTCCATCCAGCTCCTCACCAGCAATCCTTTTTGTGGATGCACAGGCTGGTTGCTCTTTCTGTTACATAGGATTCCAAGCAGTGTGTGATGTGCTGTGTTCTTTATTGGTATCAGCCAGCCAGGATGGCTTAGCCACTGACCAGGATCCCACACAAGTGGCCTCCTGAACTTCAGACCATTSAAGTGCCACACTCACCTTTACCCTTTCAAACCCCACTTTTCATACACATTTCAGCACTGTCACCAAAGTCTCACAAATACAGTTCTTTCAACAAACAACATRCATCCTTGCTGTGAAAATTAACTCACATGACAAAGAAATTGAGCTTTCAGCAGGGCACCTGAATTTAGGAGCTGATACTGCCACACAAGTACCAACTGCCTTTCTCTGAGCACAGCAGATGAGTCTACAACGTGCAACAGCTGAAATGAAAATCTGTCAGAGCCAACTCCGGTTGCAACAGCACTGGCAAACACTCCAGCTGTCAGTGAGAAGTCCCAGTTAATGCCACCATCTTCAGAACCAATTTTCTTCTCTTTTCCTGCAACAAAATCTTTGTACCTTCACAATTCTTTGTAGRTAAGATAAAGAGAACCAAGCATCCCATATGGAATCTGTTAGTMCAGGGTGGAACCAAATACCTAAGATCATTTCATTCTTATTTGAGTGGTCACATTTTGCCCATAATGTGAGAATGGAACAGAGAGAGTCTGTTTCCTGGGAAAAACTGTACTGAAGTTTCATAACAAAATTCCAGCTTCTCTAGCAATTCAAGTCTTGTGCAGAAATCAGGGTGCAGCAAGGTGATGTTCTGCCTGAAATTCCATGGATCTGAGGAGCTGCTGTAAGATGTTTGGAAGAGGAGAGCTCTTTGTCACAAGCACACTCCACAATCCGTTTTGAGAAAGGCATCTGGTTGCTTTGCTTCTGAAAACAGTTAGACCATGCCATACCCAGAGACATCATGGTCTAATTTTCCAGGAATTGCCTACTCTTTATATTCCTAATGTTAAGGAAGCTTTTGAGAACCAGCCATTTTCCTCAGTCCAAAGCATTTTGATTKTGTCCTTTGTGGCACCAGAAGCCGATACTTGGCCCAGCACACTGAAGGTAACTGCTGGGTTGAGAGAGGACTCTTCATCCACACACACAGCCAGCAGATACCAAAATCAGAACCCAAATGGTTTCTGGTCAGTGCATGATGTCCAGAATAAACTCCACTGTGAGGGAAGTGGTGCTTTTCCTCTAGAGGAGAAAAAGAAAACAAAACCAAACAAAACACAAAAAAGACCAAAGCACAACACTGCACAAAAGCACTTGAAATGACTGAAAACTGCTAAAAGCAACCAGTCCTCCCAACGGCAAACACTGGGCACAGGAGAGTGTCAAGAAGCCTGCCAGTGTCCTCAGCTGCTTGTACCTGAGCATGAGCCACCCTCACTCAAGAGAGGAAGTCTTTCTTCAACAACACCCAGAGCCTGTCAGTTGTGCAGGAGCTCTCTTCACGCACTCCTTGGCTGTTCCCTCGAGTTCCTCTCCTCAGCGAGGCCGGGGTCCCTGTGGGATGGTGCYGGGGGCCTTCCCAGCAGAACTTCCCCTCCTTTGCAGGCAGACTGGTGAGTGTCCCAGCACCAGAGCTTCACAACGCTGTCTCGCCCACACACACTTTGTAGGGTGATTTCAGTTTCCTGCATCTAAAACGGACACCATCGTGTGATTTTGATCAGTCAAATSTGAAAGCATGGCAGTCTGCACAGAACCAAAGTCAAATCCCCTGACTCACTCAAGGAACCCCAYGTTTCAGACAACTGCATCACAGGCCCCACTGGCAGATCAGAAATCAGAGGTACGGACCGTTAGTTACTTTGAGATCACACCACTGATAAGTAACAAGCAAAAGCACRGTCCCAGTGCCCTCAAAACTCTACCCACTGTAATTCAGATCAATGCAATCAGAGGGTTGCACATTTTCCATACCTCTTTCTTACATAGCAGTAGATGATGGCGAGTATTCCGCTGGTCAATATTCCTACACCAATTCCCACAGCAATGTAGCGCTCGTAAGAATTATGTGCGTATGAATTTAGTGTTAAATGTTCACATCTCTCTCCATTGTAACCTGCAAGGCACCTGCAAAATAAACACACATCATGCAAAAACTATTCCAAAATTGCTATGCTTTCTATTTCAAAGTGTTAGTTTTCATCAGTTTTAAACAAATCACATGAAGTCTAATCTAAACAAGGAGGGGCTGAACCTGGTGTTCACTCAGAACCTCTTCCCTCCACCAAGACTACCAGTTGCCCCAGTTAATCTAGTTTAAAGCTAGCTCAAGTACTGCAGTCACAGGAGCAATGCAGTCTGAACATCCCCTCATTGTGCAGGGTGTGGACCAACAGCACCATGCTCTGCTGATCTTTAGCTGCTGTAATGTCTCCAAAGGCCAAGGCTGCCCGGTACCCATCCTAGAGAACTGTAACGTTTTCCACACCATGATCTGGATTGGTACCCATCCTACAGAACTGTAAGGTTCTCCACACCATGGTCCAGATTGGTACCCATCCTAGAGAACTGTAAGGTTCTCCACACCATGGTCTGGATTGGTACCCATCCTAGAGAACTGTAAGGTTCTCCACACCRTGRTCYRGATTGGTACCCATCCTAGASAACTGTAAGGTTCTCCACACCATGGTCYRGATTGGTGKGTAGTTGAGGAATAAGGAACTTGTAGCTGATAGGCTCAAAAATCCTGTCCCCGACTTTGTACCCACTGTGAACATCCATTGATTCCTCTATTACTTACTCCAGCACCAGCAGTGATTTGAGACAGCATCCTGGCAGTGACTTACAAAGCTGTGAATTCCCCCTCTCCCTTAGTTTCACACTAGCACAGCACYACAGCCTTGTTAGCAGCCCTGAGGCACCGCAGAACTCAGGTCTGTCCCAAAGTTTAACCCTGCAAATATCGAACCAGCACTGCAAAGCTGCACATGCAACACATAGGGACTCAATGGCAGCATTATTCCTGAAGAAGGATAAAATAGGCAGAATTCTTTACTTGCATATGGGCTTCCTCAGTTCGCTGTGGAAGGCACAGAGCCCATTGATACAATAGCTGTGGTGCTCCTCAAGGCAGGTCTGCATCAGCTTCAAGAGCCTTGGCTGCTCTGTGTAGTCTACTGTGAAACAGAATAAAGTCATGTTATGTTTAGGACAAAACAGCATTTGCACACATTTTCACACCTGCAGCAGAACAGGTACTGTGTGCAGCAAACACTTGTTATGTCCATTTATTGTGCTGTGTCTCATGAGCTGATTCAGTCAGTACTAAACAGAACAAGCATCTGAGACAGTCCAGCAGAGCTTTGGGAAAGCACAAACTATAAATGAATCACTTGCTCTTGAGAAACATGTACAAAAGGGACTATGAGAGATTCGCACATTAGCACTATTCGACTTGCAATTCAATCAGAAAAACTATCCCAGGAATAGCAGAGGTTTAGGACACAAGGAGAGCACTGCATTATTCTCAGTATCCTTCCCAGTCTGAGTTCAATTTCATAGTTAATTAGTTGTTTCTTTCCCTGATCCCAAGACAAGCCATTGCATTTCTAGCACTCCTGCCTGCCCTGCAGCAATGAGTGAGGATGAATAGTGAGCTGCTCCCTCCCCTCCCTTCTCCATGCTTTAATATTAGTTGAGTGTCCAATGACAGTTATAAGCTCCCAAAACCACCCAGACAGTTTTCCTGTGCAAAAGCACARTCTGTGGCTACTAAGCTTCTGAACTTGTGCAAAATTCTGCACATGTGGGTCAACAAGCACACTTCTTGTACAGAAAATGCTATCTGATTCCCAGCCRTGGTGGCTCAAAGGGGATTAAAGAAATCAAGAGAACAGGGGTGCAGCAGGTGAAGAGAAAGCTCCAAAGCAAAACCACCACTGCAAGCATCTGTTCCAACTGGTCTCTCTACCCAGTTACAGGAATCACTGGTGGGGTGGGGTGTCCAAGCTTACTATTTCAGGGGACTTCCTCAGTGACAGCTGAAAGCAATTTCCTAACCGAGTGCATGTCAACATCAGCTTTCAGTTATGACCACAAGAAAAATAACATCTTGCAAGAAGGTGACAAGGTCTGCTCAACAAAGGTGACTCAACAGGTATGCAGCAAGCAGAACCCTTCCTTTCTGACGAAGTGCTGAATAAAGGTCTGCAGACAGTACACTGATGGAACCACTGCCACGGACAGAAGCCTCGAGCCGCCCTCGAGGGCAGCTTGTGATCCCACCACACACYTTTCAGGAGTAACAGCACCAAGCCCCTAAGTTCCCAATCAAATTCCAGTCCAAGCTTTTAATGACAGCAATCTCCTCTGCGTGCTCTTCTAAGTGTTTTGATTTTTTTTTCTTCCTCCTCGACRCAGCTTTATCAGAGATGACAAGCAATGGCAAACAGCTGCTCTAGCTAGAGCAACTCTCARCTTCAGATGTGAATGATGTGGTTTGGACACCCCAAAGGCATGATGCTATCACTGACACTCGGATCAAACACAACGGCTTTGAGAACAGTGCAATCTCAATCCTGACAGTAATCAGACTTCCAGCTTAGAAAGAGATTTAGGGGCAACAAGGGACAATTCAGGTCTGCCTGAAAAATGAAATGTTGGCTTACTGCACTTCCTCAAGGAAACCTACAGAGGTGGGAGAAGGAAGTCTTGYTTTAGAATGAACTTCTAATGGCTGAGAAAAGGGCATCTTATCCATCCTTTCAAGGAAAAAAAGGCATGCTGAGGAGATCCAAGATGCAGGGGACCGGCAAAACCCATTCCAGTTAGGTCTAAARTACCTGCAGAGCAGCTGCCTAAGCTCTGCTGCCCTAAGTGTCACTCTTGTGCTAGTTCCTGATTAGGTGTCTGTCGCACAGATTTAGTTTTTYCATTTCCATCTCTTTCACAGGAGAGAAAATAGAAAATAAACATGAGGAAAGTACAAGTTCACACCCCAGAGGCACAAAATCCCCAACCACCTGTACCCAAGCTTCCACCAGATGGAATTTGCACATCCTGAAATCCCTCCTCACTCACGGCAGCACTGCCGAGAGGTGGCAGACTTCCCCCTGCCAGGATCAGCCGGAAACCTGGCTTTGTGCAGCTACAGGAACCTGTTCCCTGAGCGCTGCTGTCATTAGAAACCCAGGACAGCCTGGAGCASCAGCCTGCCTCGAAAGCACTTGACACAAACCAACACATTCCATCGYCGCTGTCAGGAGGAACAGCTTGCTCCATTGTGGGTAAGATCACATACTAAGTCTACACACAAAAAATCCATGYGCTAATTATTTTGGCATTGCAAAAGTACAAATTACCTCTGAAAGAATGAGTCTTGRAAACAGAAAGGATGATTTCCTAGCCCGCCCCAGAGAATTATGTTAATTCCTAGCATACTGTCCACATAGATACTAAASAAGCTGTTGAATAAACAGGTCCATGTGCCCTTTCATGTCACGTGAGGGGASAGAAACATGCCGTGTAAGCACTTGACAGCTGCCTGGAACTGAGTCATTCCAACAGATACAGCTGGCAAGATCTGACACGAAATCCAGGCTACAGGTACCTGGAAATCTGGGCTTGCCAAAACTGTCAGACTGGCARCAAAGGGAGTCAGCCAGTGAGACCATGCCAGCTCAGTCCTCTACTATGGTGTGTCGGGGAGCAAAGGCAATGGGAAAGGGGCAGTCCCAGGTTCAGGGCCTCCTTTACAGGCTGCACAGAACCAGCTGATGGCAATGCAGGGATCCCATCTTTTCCCCAGTGCAACCAAGACCTTCCCTATTCCTGCCTGCCCACTTTGCTGTGAAGACTCTGTCAGTCCAAACACCACCAAAAGTTCTTTGTCCATGCTGTGYTAGCTCCCAGTTTCTCTACTCAGTCTGTCTCCCTGTTTCAGCTAATCACTGACACTAAAATTCCCTGGCCCCAGCACTGATGACAAGTAAAACCTGTGTGACCTGTAAGAAGGACCAGATCTTGCAAGTACAAGGCAAAGGGATTGAGCAGAAATTAATGACTTTTCACAAACTGTACCTCAGTGCCCAAAAGACTTGAATTCCACAAGAAACTGCCAGTTYTCCCAGTGAAACTGAACCAGAAAATCATGGTTTTAGGACCCAGTATTACTGAACCCTGGCAGTAAATCTTGCTGTAAGCTTACAGTGCACAGGAATAGGAGCTACCAGGAAACTGCAGAGATTCAGTCAGTTTCTATGATCTCTTTTTCAGCATTCCTTTTCCATCTTCTTTCTGGAAATGCTGTTTTTTAACTTCTCAGTGGCTTTRTAAGAGGACCACCAACAGATACTCCTAACTGCGTGTGTAAATGTGTGCTTGAATATTTGTGAATTTGATTCTACCTTTGAGTGGAATACTCTCAAAGTTAAATGCTGGTGTGCAGTTCACTGCCACAACTCCAGGTTCCATAAAGGTTCACAGACTACTGCAGACAAGGCTGTGACCCTGTAAATAAGCCTCYACTTTGTTGAAACATGACCCATTGCTCCTGCTTTCTAGAAACAACACAAACAGGGCACTTAATGAGCCACACCATATTTCCACCTCATCCTCTAGCTTGCTGTGTGCAGCTCTGCAAGAGTCGTGTCACAGACAGACTAAACCAGACCACAGTGCARTGCTGATAAACCAAAGCACTGTGGTCAAAAATCAACACCTTGCTGACTTCACATGCAYAGAGTGTGTATACATATTTTATGTATATATATGAAACCCACACATACAGCATGTGTATGGATGAATATATATGTGTACATATATCATTATAACACTACGAAAGATCAGAAATGAAAACAAAACAGCTTGACTTGTTATGAAAAAAAAATAAAAAGCTTTTGGATTTACTAAAAAAATGCTTGGAAGACATCCCATGATGACTTGGAATTAACAGCAGATGATTTGTATGCATATTTATATGCCTTTTAAAGCACAGAGACATTAATRAGTATTGCAGTTAGATTCCTCTCCTCCTTTACTGGCCTGCCAAAACCTCAATCCCAGATGGCACAGCTCTCCCAAAGCAATGACATCACAGCACCTCAAGTTATATCAAGAACACAGCTGGCAGGATAAACACRGCTCTGCTCTCGGTTATTGGCAGGTAAAAGAGCCTGAGTTCACATTTCAGTCAGAAAAGAGAAAGGAGCAAGGGAGAGAGCCAGCACTCTGAGGATGGCCGTGGGAGCCGTGACAGCCAAAATCCAAACTGCAACAAAGAAAGAACTACTGAGCAACTCATGAGAGGCATTGCTCAAGCTGTGCTGCTCATTCTCGCTTGTGTGCATTAAGGYGCATGATGAGGACAGACAGAAACTAAGAACCAGCTAAAAGTAACAAAACTTGCCATCAGAAACACASATCATCAGCCTTAAAATGTCTTCAAATTATGACTGAACTTGGGTTAAAGATCCTTCAGCTGGTCATTGCTGAGCCTATCCCAGCTGAGTAGCAGTTCTTATTTCAGAGAGGTTTCAAAGACTCCATGAGGAAATCAGCTCATCTCACTAATAAAACTCACAAATCCAACAGAGTCCAAGGGATAGAGCATCACAGCAGCTAACACCACAGATTTTGGTGGAGTTTTTGGTTTGTTGGTTGGGKTTTTTTTCTTAATTGACAGATTAASAAACAGAACAAAAAAGCAATACCTTCWGTGTTGTTTTTTGTCCAATTATTCCATAAGTCAGTGCTGACGGATGAAGCAGTAATAGCTGACTCTTCACTCAGTGCCCCCATTGCTGTGTAATGCAAATAGATGCTTACTGGAACAGAAAAGCTCAATATATCTCTTCAAGTTTCATTTCACCCAGAATGCACTTCATACAAAATGCACTTCAAACAACCCCCGGAGAAGGCAGCAATATAATAACAATTCATTTAAAACACTCTTGCCTCAACCTTCCTTTTGACACAGCATTATTATGATCGTGGGACAACAAACAATGGCTTGCAAATGTCCCAAATATAAATCCATCCTGTTTTCCATTCTATTATCTTGCACAATTTACGACACAGATACATGTAACATACTACAGCCTTAAACCTATTTACCAGTTTAAGTAGCTTATTTTCAAAGAGTCTTAATTRTACCCAATCAGTTAAAATTTCATCCAGGTTTCAAATTGCTGAAGTAGTTCTGCTGCGAATGTCTCTGCATGCTTCCCCCCCACCACCTATTTCMGGAGAGGAATGCTGTTTAACAAAGCCTTGGACCTCACAACATGGAAAAGCCTCCTCCAAACCTACCTTTCAGTAAAATATAGATTAGCATTCCAAATGCCATGGTAGGCAGCTGCTTTAACACCTTCTCAGCTCTTCTTTCCAGGTGGCTTGCTTGCTCTGCTTATCTGTGCTCCGTGTTTTCTCTTGCCTCTTATATGCCAGGAAGCGTCATCTCCTGTTCTCACCAATCAAGAAAGGGTGCATCTGGCAACAACCTAACCCCCGGGGCAACCACACATTTATTTAGGAAACTGCTATTATCTGGCAATGGCATCAGGTTTTCYTTTGAAACCCTGGTTTCCTATTACCTGTGGGCATAATTGTGCATGCAAAGGTACAGTTTTAGAGCAAGATCCAGATTCTGACAGAGCAGAAGAACAAAAAACCAGCCAAACAAAGGTGAGCAAAACAAAAAATTATGTGAAAATGTGGTGTTTCCTTCCCTTCACAAGGGGGAGGTCTTGTGTTACTTCCAGGAGGATATCCACCTTCAGGMTGCCACACTGGAGTTCAGAGGGCAGAGAACAGTCCCTGCTCTGCTAATGTTCCCTCCCTGGTCCTGCCTGCCCCTCAATGCCTGCCATCCAGGAGAGGAACTTGGGGAACACCTAGTGCCGCCATTAGGAAATGATCAGRCACAAAGATAATGGTGATGTTCTCCATCAGACACTGCTAGCGGGAGGCCTTTGATCGCAGGCTCTGCAAGCCTGAGGGCTGTGCTAACCACT